TCTGTGTGTCCAGGCCATTCTCATTCATATCCTGCTTCCCAGTTCTCCTATGCCCTCTCCTTCCTTTCACCCCATTCACTAGACTAGCTCCTGCCCTTCCTTCCAGGAGTCAGCTTGTGGGTCTCTCTTGGGACACCCTCTTTTCCTCCCCATTTTCCTCTGGGCTAGGTATCTCTCTTTCTTTCCACAGCAATCCATCTTTATCTCCTTCCCAGCAGTCTTGACACGAATTGCCCATGTTTATTTACACGCCTTTACCAACGGAGTAACTCCTCAGGTCAGGGATCATGTCTTATTCATTTTATATCACCTAGTAGGTGTTCAGTGTGTATCTATTAATGGATGGAATGGTTTCTACTTCTTGAGTTTAAAGGCACCTGAAATTAAAAAAAAAAAAAGTGCCACCAAGACCCTGGGATCCACTTGGCCTCAGCTGTATGATGTCCTCAGAATGCCTCCTCTCTTGGGGCAGATAGGTACAGGATAGTCATCTGAGAGAGGAAGGGAGGGAGGGGAGCACGGGACAGACAGCCCTGGGGACAGGCAGCCCTGGGGACAGGCAGAGGACTACTGGTGGGTATGAGAGCTCCTCAGGCGCCAGAGTTTGAGTGGTTTCAGTATTGGTGAAGGGCCTTGGAAGTTATGTGTAGTCCATGTCAGTGAGCGTGGCCAGGTAACAGCCTTTTTTTTTTTTTTTTTTCAGCTGGGGCTGGAATATAAGCAGAGCTGTCAAGTCCAGGGGGAATCTTCTGAAACGTGTGAAATTATTCTGTAATGTATTATGATTTATTGTATGTGGTGTTTACAATCCAGGTTGGCCTGGTCATTTGAATGAGGCAGAAACTTGGAGAGGGGAGAACCTTTCCTTTCAGGGATGTACTATATTGTTCCAAATTCTGTCTTCTTGCAAATAGCACATGGCAGTCCTTGTTTTGCTCTCCAGAGCATCTATGATAGTCTCTAAGGTTTAAGGTTGCCAAGCATCCATAGTTCTTCCAGCCATTCTTTTTTATTTTTTAAATATATTTTTTATTGATTTTTTTTACAGAGCGTTAGAAACATTGATGAGAAACATCGATCAGCTGCCTCCTTCCCACTCCCTACTGGGGATGTGCCTGCAACCAAGGTACATGCCCTTGACCAGAATCGAACCTGGGGCCCTTCAGTCCGCAGGCCGATGCTCTATCCACTGAGCCAAACTGGTCAGGGCCAGCCATTCTTTTTATTTTTCTCTCCAGCATGCCCTTCTTCCCCATGCAGACAATATCACTCTGTAAACATACCAACCTCCCTGCCTCTGCTCTTGGCCTCTTGTAATTGGAGTGTCCTTGTCCCCAATTGTAGTAGAAATGTTGGTCCTCTTTTAAAGCTCATCTCTGGTGCCACTTATTCTGTGGGGCTTTCTCTGAGTTTCTCCCCCACCTACCATGAAGCTGTGCACACCTCCAGTGTTTTTATTTTATTTATTTATTATTGTTTAAAGTATTACATATGTCTCCTTTTCCCCCATTGCCCCCCCCCCGCCACTCCCGTCCCCCACACCTCCAGTGTTTTTAGACTGTGACTTGGCATTATGTTTATACCCAGTCCCTGAATGCAGCTGGGTTCTTTGGCAGGTATGGGCCCAGCACTTTGAGCTTCTCCCCAGCAATAAATCCCAGTTGCAAAACACTGATGAATGGAGATTTTACTGACGGTTCCACAAAGGGAGATTTACATGGCATTCCACACCACAAAACTCTGTAACAACTCTCTTTAAACATCTGTTCCCTCCCCTCAGCTCCTTCCTCAGCCACTCCTCTTTTCTCACTAGTCACCCTCTCTCTGGGCCTCTCTCTAGTACCAGCTTGGCTTTTCTCCCTTTCTATGATCTCTGCCATTTTTCTCCTAGACAACCGCCCGCTCCCCCCAACCCCATCTCTTTTTCAGTAATTTGCATTTTTACACTCATCACCTTTCAAAAAAGAGCGTTCCAGTCTTCAGAAAACAGAAGCTCATAAATAACAAATGATCCCCACCCCCTCACCATATTCCTCCACAGACATATTTAACATCGCAGCAGGTCTGTTACACAATACCCCTCAGAGTGTTGAGTGAAGGGGAGAATAAACACAGTACATTATTTGCTCATGGCACCTGAGCCTCTCCAGTTGTGAGGCCCACCCCTTCCCTCCCTTCGTCTCCCATTAGGTAAGAGTGACTCAGCTCTGAAGCCCTTGTGGATGCAGAGGTCTGACTCTCCCTGCTTTGTAGTTAGTTACCAGGAAAGGTTTGAGTTGCCCTCTGGGGTGCCACTCCCACCCTGCCCAGAGAGTCGGTCATGGGCTCCACTAGACCAGCTAGAACTTGGGGTCAAACAGAGTAGCGTTAGGATTCAACAAGGAAAGATATAGCTGGAAAGTTTTCCATTTTGAGATCTGGGGAAAGAGTTAAGTCTTCCGCCACGTGGAGGGCAAGCTCCCTGTCTCCATCCCTGAGCTTTCCCCTCAGGAGTGAGGTCTGCCACGAGGTGTTTTTCTTCACGACAGAAACAAAGTGA